AAAATTTATTGATAAAAAATATTGATATTTACATATAAAAATACTATAAACGTGCTATGTGTGTCTATTCTGCAGCCCCACATCTAAGATTTTCCAAAAATTATTTCTATATTGCTTTGTTTCCTGAAAATTGGTAAACAACTATAAGCACATGACAGAGTGAGAAATATTACGCCAAGAGTATAAGGGACACAAAATAACCATTGATAGTTATGTAACTAAAATATTTAAGATAACTTAGTTTTAACAAATAATCATTTAAGTAGCAAAACTAAGATTATGTAAATAAATAACCATAACCACGGTACAGAACAAAACAGACCTGAGGTCACAGAAGTGACAGTCAGAACTGAGGTACGGATTCAATAGATGACTCATACGGATTATAGAAGTGACTCCTACAATGGTGTAGCACTTATCTCCGCACAGCACATTACTCCGCACATAACAGAGGTCAATAGATCCATGACAATAGAGGGTCACAAAGTGACCAAACAGAAGCCGATGATTATTTAAGTCTTCCAAAGCGTGAGACTCCCGTGGTGGTACTTACAAAACATAATTGCATATAAACTCATAGTCAAATAGTCATTAAAACGTAAACAAATATATCTATGGGTTTCATTTTAAACAAATAGAGTTCATAAATTAACCCACGTAATTAAAATATTAATGTAATTTATAAAACATAACTTATTAAAATATACGTAAAATGTGTTATGGTGATTCAAGGTATAATATAACTCACATTAGAATTGATCCTTAACTTTTATTTTCCTAATATCGACTTTGTGTTTCTTTGTATGCTACCCTCCCCGCTTAGCACTCTACTACTCCCTCTATTTATAGTCTGTGAAAACCCCTTAATCCCTAATCAAGTGTTAACACGTGGCAAGCTTACCACCCAGCCATCTATCCAACAGGTTTCCACATGTCCCTCTATATTAGGTGACTCACCAATTCTTTAGAACCATTCATGCATAGTCATCAATCTACAGGCTAGGCTGGAGAAGCGTAGGGTCCTTTTTGTTTTTATTTTTAATTATAATTTGGCCCAAATCTTAAACTAATTATATGTTTTTTTTTTAATTTTATAATAGATAATTCCTAATTTAATTACACTTTATTTCATACACCCATAACATTTAATATTTTATTTTACTCTTATGAAATATTTAATTAAATATTTAGAGTTTTTATCATTTATAATTAAATAATATTAAAATAAAATTTAAGGGACAACTTAAATTTTCGGATTGTTACAAGTATTCTATATGCCTAATTTTTGTACAAGGCTCTGTGAAAAGTATGATTTGGGCCCAAGGCTGTTTGAATATAATGATGGGCCAAAGGCCGTTTGAATATTATGATGGGTCAAAGGGCGTTTGAATATTGTGATGGGCCCGAGGCCGTTTGATATGATTAGGCTAGAGGCCGTTTGATATGATGGTTGGATCTAAGGCCGATTTGATATGATTGGGCCCGAGGCCGTTTGATGTGAATGAATTGGGTCTAAGGTCGTTTGAATATTATGATGGGTCAAAGGTCATTTGAATGAAAAAGTGTTCATGACACATGAATATGAACATACGCATAGATATAAATATAAAAATAACAGACCCGAGGTCGTTCTAATTTGATTTACATGTAATATGCATTAATGTGATTTACTTGATTAAGAATCTCATTCATACAGCTTCTTTACTCTGGTATTATTTATTGGGCGTTAGCTTACTCTTTATATATATATATATATGTAGGTGAGCAATTAGAGGATCAACGTTACAGTTTGTCCTGGAGTCTGCCTCTTTGTCAAGCCATCCAAGAATTACCTCTGTGTAGAGGCTTTATTTATTTTGTTGGGCTTGAGTTGGTATTTGTATTTTGTTAAAAGTCCTTCATGAAGTGTGAGAGGGTAATTTATGTGAAAATTGGGCCGAGCTGGGTAATGGGCCGTTATGAGCCACAGTACAAAGGGCCGAGTAAAAGGGCCATGTAAGTCACTCTGGTCGTATGAATACTCCGAAGTTAGTCCGGTTCTAAGACTGCGAAGCTAGTCCGGTCCGACGTAAGAACGAAGTTAGATCGGTCTAACGGTACCTTTGAGTTAGACCGGTCTTGGAGTTATACCGGTCACGATTCGTTAGTTCGGTCTAACCATGCCATGTGTTGTGCATGAGAAGCCGACGTAAGAGAAGTAAAAGGAAGAACTAGTTCGGCTTGTTCTACGGCTATGCATAGTCGTGTTTACTTCGGTCGTATTGGAGTTCGGCCATGATAGAACCATCTCACTTGGTTTAAGCAGTGAGGGGGGTGTTGAAGGATAAGCATTATCTTTCAGGAGTATGAATCCTAGGAGGACTCTGCATGGAGGAGTAGAAGTCCTACTAGGATTGTGCCACACGAAACCTATAAAAGCTCACAAACATCACCTTGGGAGAGGTAACACACAATTTTGCTTTCTGAATACACAGAGCTTTTGTCTATTTGTCAAGCTTACTGACTTAGGCATCAGAGAGGTTTCCGGCACACACCCGCTGGCTAGCTCACGTTTGTGTTTTCAGGTGATAAAGCGACGACGTACGGAGGAGAGTAGACTTGGTCAACAGGATTATACGAGAAGGTTTATTTCTTTCCCGTACAAAGTCTATGAAATATGTTATAAAATATGTCTTCGTATATGTATATATAAGTGTTTTAATTTCTATAGTTGATCATGTACACATAGTTCAATGGACAACATTATTTTTATTTTGCTTCCGCTTCAGGCCCCAATTATACTTAAATATTTTGAATTTTGTCTTTGAGGCCGTAAGTAATCTTTGGATTACTGGCCGATTACGCAGGCCCCAATTATACTTAAATATTTTGAATTTTGTCTTTGAGGCCGTAAGTAATCTTTGGATTACTGGCCGATTACGACGCTAAACTTATAGGGGCGGGTTTAGGTCGTGACATATCGAGACAGAGATGACTCTTATTTTTTTCAGCTATGACAATGGTGGCTAAGATTTGTGAAGACTATCTCAGATCGATCAATGGAAGTTAGAGGAGAGGGAGAGAGGAGATGCGGGTTTCAAGAAAAGAAGAGAGAGACTGAGAAGGATGATTTGATTTGTTTCACCGTATTAGTATATATATATGGGTGATTTGGAAAGTTAGCTAAAAGTTTACTTTTTAAATTTTTTTTTAAACTTTTTTATTATTTTATGTGTAAAAAATGTGAAAAGTGATATGATCTAAAACGAATTAAAAGTTAAAAATTTATTTATTTATAGCTTCCCAAATGGCCCATAAATGGATAATTTGATTGTTTTATCTAAATTTGTCCTTCTAGACAAACTAACCTAGCGCTTAAACTTTTAAGCATAAAAAATTCATAAGTGAATTTATTAACTGACCGTCTCTTTTTTTTTTAAGTAACTTTTTAATTTATAAATTTTCTCCTCCCAAAAGAAATGCATATGTTGACAAACCGACCCTCAAAATCTAATACTATGTTTGGATTGAGTGATTTGGAGAGAAAATAAAAGAAATTGAGAGATATATATTTCTCTTATTTTGTTTGAATAACTTAAATGGAGAGAAATGAGGAGAAATGAAGAGAAATGAAAAAAAACCCATTTATCTTATAACCCTTATTGTCAATCTTTCCAAAAGTGGAGAGGTTTAGAAAGAAAAGAAATCAGCAAATTTGTATATTTTCATAATACCAAATTTTTCCTTATAAAAATAAAAGAAATAAAATAATTGACAAAATATAAAAAAATTATTTTAATAATATAACATAAAATTTTTTCTTTTATTTTGTCTAATTAAATCTAACTAAATAAAAAATCACAATCACTTTTTAATTTTTTTTTAATTTCTTATTTATTCAAATAAAAAAAAAATCGCAATCAGTGTATTTGATTTGAGTTTTCTGAATTAAGTTTTTTGAAAATTGAGTATTTTAGTTTTCGTGTGTTTTTTTTTATTTTTAGTGAATATTTTTAAAATTTTAAACATTTTTTTTACTTTTTTAGATATACCTTACTTAGATATATCTAAATAGTAAAAAAATTGTGAAAAATATTTACAAAAATTAATAAATACATAAAAATATAAAAAATATACTGAATTCTTATATTTTTTTATATTTTTGGTATTTAGTGAATTTTTAAAAGATTTTTTTTACAATTTTTTTACTTTTTAGGTATATTTATGTTAGGTGAGTCTAAAAAGCAAAAAAATTGCTTAAAATATTAAAAAAATTAATAAAAATTTAAAAATATGAAAATAATAAAATAAATTTTTTTAAAAAGTGTTTCTGATAAAATAAAACCAAACAATTAGGAGTGATTTGGGATGATCTAAATAAGTACACTTTTTGACTTTTTATAAATGCAGTGGCTTTGGTCCAGTCTAAGATTGGATTAGACCGTGCTGTTGGGCCGGTGGGGGCCACCACGGGTCCCGTTTTGATAATCCGAACCGTTCAATGTGTAGAACTCATCGAGTACTATATGCCTGTAAAAAATCACGTTAATCGGATATCGATAACTATGTGAACAAAACAGTTTTTTATCAACCGTTAATTGTTTCATCGTCCATTTTTTTTATATAAAACTGATTTGATCACATAGCTATTGATATCCGATCAACGTGATTTTTTACAAACATGTAGTACTCGATGAGTTATACACATTGACGGTTCGGATTATCAAAACGGGCCCAAAAAATAAGCCCCGTGGGCCGAACTGGACGGGTCCAATCTTGATCTCAACTTGAGACAAGTTGAACCCTTTTATAAAATATGAGTTAGATATGAGCTAAATTTGAAGTGATGCAATAAAAAACGGATATGATTTAAATAAGTTATTAATTTTTCAACTTTTTAATTTTTTTAATATATGCCAAATAAGGCTTTTTTTTTTTTTTTTTCCTCTTATAACTTAAATAAACAGTTATTTTCTTTCCTCAAGTTACAAGATAGCGTAACTGATGCGCACATAGGGACTGCGCAAAATACACAGATTTTGCTATTTATATTTTTTAAAGCCATTCTCTCGAACCCTTATCTTTCTCTTTCTCTTTCTCCCTCTGTATCAAATCTCTCTCTCAAAGCCTGTGTTCGTCTAGGGTTTCGATTCGATTCAACAACCATGTTTCAAGCTCCGAACAGATCGAGCAAACCGACTCACGGTGGTAACGATTCGGAATATCCCGTACCACCTTCCAACAATTTATGGGTTGGAAATCTCTCTCCCGATGTCACAGATCTCGATTTGATGAATCTCTTCTCCAGACACGGTTCAGTCGATAGCGTAACCCCTTACGCTTCGAGGAGTTACGCTTTTGTCTACTACAAGCGAATCGAGGATGCTAAGGCTGCCAAGCAGGCCCTCCAAGGGACGATTTTGCGTGGAAATTCTTTGAAGATTCAGTTTGCGAGACCGGTTTGTTCTCATCTTTGTGCCCTTTTTACTACTGGGTTTAGTTTAATTTGTGTAGTTTGTTGTTTTTCAATTGATGGGTTTAGTCTAATTTGTGTGGTTTGTTGTTTTTTCAATTGATTGGTTGGTCTGTGTAATCGTTATTGTTCTACTTACAACTGAGCATTTGTGCATTCAGAATCGGAGAAGTTTTGGTGGCTTCAATGTGCTGAATTAAATTTCAAAATTTAAAATTTGATAGCTTTTTTCAACTATTTTTCTCCATCTACATTTTTTTTGGGGTCAATGAATGAATAAAATCCCTCATTTACATTCAAGTGGTTGCCGGGGAAACCCTTTCTTCGATTCAGATTAGTCTGCAAATACAGGTGTGATCTGATCCAAATCCCTTGATTCATTGGCCTGCAACACGATTGCTCCACCCAAAAATTCAGACTTAAAATTTTCGGCTGTAAAATCAGAACATTTGACCAAATTATGAGAATTTCGGATTTGAAATTTTACAAAAACTTTCTATAATTTTTTGGTTCCACATAAATTCAGAACTTTTGGTTTTTCTATCAGTTGACCACCAAAATCATACAAAACTTAATCTATGGACAAGAGAGTCCATGCTAGGTACAAGATCCAAAAATATTCTCAAGGGATCAATTCATGTTTTTTCGGCCCAATGATGCAAAAGACTAAGAAAATTACGTTTGATTCTACACAACTTACAAATCTACACTTTCCAAGTTTTTCCTATTTGTCACCTTTCAAATGCACAGATAAATGAAAAAAATGGCCAACTTGTTCTACCTCCAAATTTCTTGAGTCTTCTGCATGTAAACAAATCTATGAAGAATTTAGAAAGATCAAAGGCATCCAAAACTACCCATCAAGAAAGTCCACACCTCTATGACTATCCTCTGGGTTTTCTTTTGGTGAGTAACTGATCCGTGAATTTATGCCGCATCTGTGCACATTCAGCTTGGGGTTACGGTTAACCCTTGCTTAATTTTTTTTGACAAACTGAAATAAAGGAATAGTAACCTCTCACCTCTGTAGATGGTTAACCTAAATGAAACAATGCATAAAGCAGGAGTGCTTGAGATGAATTCTTACTGCTTGTGTATATATGTGTACATTTCATGTGAAGAAGTAAATACGTGTACCAGGATGGGCATAATGGTGTTGGATAGAGATTGGGTCACTGAAGAATCTTCTTGCTATGACTAAAGTTGATTTCATGATATGCATATTTAAAAGATTATCTACATATAAAAGATAATTTAACTGAATTAAGGCACACATGATGGGATTTGCAAATGAAGGTGGCAATTTTTTTTTACTTTGATTTGGTGTATTAAGGTTATACTTGTTATGAGATGTTGCCCTTTGTTAATGGTGATAATGAAATAATGGTTGAAATAATAGAGAATATAATTTGTATTTATTTAGCTAAATTGATTTTAAAATTAAGAAGCAAGGACATGAATATGGACATGGGACAGTGATTTAAAAAAAATTAGGACACAAACACAATGGAGAAATGACTTGCTATGTAGATTAATATTATGAGTCCACAAACCATCATAATTAACAAAATCTAACACTAATTCAATTTAACAAAACCAACGGTAATCAAATTAAAAAAATATATTTAAATGATTAATTGATCATCATAAAAAAAAAGAAAAAAAAAAGTAATAAACATTTAACATTCTATCTCCATCAAAAGCACTAAAGCAGCTTGGGGGGGGGGGACTATGACTAAAGTTCATTTCTAGAAATGCATATTTAAAGGCATATCTACATATAAAAGATATTTTAAATGAATTAAGGCACACATAATGGGATTTGCAAATGAAGGTGGGGAAAAAAAAATTGAACTTTGATTTGGTCTATTAAGGTTATACATGTTATGGGAAGTTGACCTTTGTTAATGGTAATAACTATACAATGGTTGAAATAATAGAGAACATAGTTTGTATTTGTTTAGCTAAATTGATTTAAGAACTAAAAAGCATGGACGCGAACACGGATATGGACATTGGATAAAGTGATTTAAAAAAAATGCGGACATGACGTGCTATGTAAATTAATATTATGTACACAAACCATCAAAATTAACAAAAACTAACACGAATTAAATTTTAAAAACAACATTATATTTAAATAATTAATTGATTGATCATCCATAAAAAAGAAAAAAAAAAGTAATAAACATTTAACATTCTACATCCATCAAAAGTACTAAAGAAGAGAGGGGAAAACTAGGTGGCGTGTCCTTAGTGTGTTCCCAAAACACAAATTAATTAAATAATGGTGTGTCCCTGGCATGTTCAACACTGCTACGACACTTTTTTGGAGTGTCCATAATTCATACTTTAAAAATATTATTTGTAGGGGTTCAATTGATTTTTATGGAATTGTATATTTTGGTTTTTAGTAATTTAGTAAATAGTGAAGAAAAGGATGAAAAAAAAAAAAGAAAACAATTTATTATCGTGAAAGGGTATGGAAATGCATAAGTATTTAGTAATGCTTTATGTAGATTGGAAAATGAGTTAATGCAATTCCAATAATTTTCTTTTAATAATATGAATTTTAAAATCTTTTGGTTTGATCTACGAAGCATTTACACTTCTTAGACACTTATCGACGAGTGTCAGACACTCTTTAAAACATGTCCTATTATTTTGTTAATTTTTTTAGATCTCGACACGCTTCGGACACTTGGAAGACACGTGCCCATTGCTTAGACGCACGAAACACACTAGAAGTTTAAACAAAATAACTTAAGATCCAATGATAATGGAAAAATAATGTAGATATTTATTTATCCCTCTACCTTTAAACTTTAGAAATTAGTGTTATGTTATAATCTTTTTATGAATTTTGTTAACATGAAAAGATTGTACATCTTGCATGAAAGTGAATGCAATAAAACAATGTATAATCTTTTTAGGTAGCGTTTGGTAGAGTTTTCTAAATATGATTTGAGAATAGAATTGTATTTTGAGTTTGTGAGTTTTGAAATTATGATTTGAGTGTGGAAAATTTGTTTGGTGAATGAGTTTTGAAAAGAGTTTTGAATTGAGTGGGGAAATTTTGATGTGACATGTGATATTTGATACAAAAACTTACAACTCATAACTAAACATACAATTCAAAATTCTATTCAAAGCTCATAAATTTTTTAAAAAAATTTCAATTTTTTTTTTATTTAAAATATAAAAAATAACATGTGGCATTTATAAAAAAAAGAATTGCACTGCTCCGGTCAACCGGGCCGGACGTCCAGTTAGCCCAAATTTTCCCACCTTGGAAAGAGTTTTCAAAAGGGGTTGTAGAATTAATTTTTGAATACTCTAAACAAATAAGACACTCAAAATAAAGGGTGGAAATATGTTTGGAGAAACTAACCAAACACAACCTTAAGCTTGCTTAACATGTGCTCTAAGGGCACACATTAATAACACCCATTTTTTATTATGAAATATTCATATATATATATATATAATTTTTCTCATAATGAATACATAAAACTATAAATTTTGTGAGTACCCTCTTGTGTCGTGCCCAACATCTTTTGAAAATTGTAATGTCGGCGTGCTAGTGTTGTGTCACTTGTCCATGCTTTTTAGGGTTTTGATGCGCATAACTATGTTTATTAGTTTAGTTTGACCAGAAAAATGCTTTAATGCAATTCTAATGCATCAATACCTTGCTTGATTCAAATTCATTTGAGACATGAACATGGTAACAGGCAGTTGTGATTTGTGTTGTTTATTTCGTTTTAAGTGGTACTAGAAGTTACATACCAAGTAGACTTGCATTGTTACCATTAGCAGGGTGTAAACATTCTAGTTTACTTGATGGGTTATGCTAGAAGGGAAATGCATATGACTTTTGGAACACTCATCCATCTGGCAACGTATGCATATTTGGGTGTCTATGATGTGTATTTCTCTTGATTAATGTATCATCTTTTTCCTGTTGTTTGTAGGGTAAAGTTGCTATTACAACTACACATTTTTTGGGTTTTTTCCCCGAGTTCTAACCTATTACTTTTTTTGGAGGAGGCAGGCTAAACCATGCAAAAGTTTGTGGGTTAGTGGAATCGGCCCATCCATTACGAAGGAAATTTTGGAAGAAGAGTTTCTCAAATTTGGTAAAATTGAGGAGTTCAAGTTCCTCAGGGACCGTAATACTGCATATGTTGATTACCTTAGATTGGAAGATGCTTTTCAAGCATTAAAAAGTATGAATGGGAAGCAAATAGGCAGTGACCAGATACGTGTTGATTTCCTCAGATCACAGACTTCAAGAAGAGTAAGTCGATTAATTCAATCACGTTTTAGATGTGCTTTGGAATATTTAATTGTAGCTTGGATAAGGTACTGTGATTACTTGCATAGTGAGTTGAAGTTTTAACTGTGCCCTACATCATAGTGTCTCTGTCACAGTGAGGTGCTTAGAATTATTCTTGGTCACCCTTTTTAATATATAATTATTCTTGGTCACCCTTTTTAATATATTAGTTATTGCACCTGATAAGGGAAATTTGGTACTTTGAGGAATTATCCTTGTATTTTAGATGTGCTAGCCAGCCCATTGGTACATTCTTAGGTCATTTATACAACTGCCATTGAACCTATCCTTGCTGGGCACTAAATCCAATCCACTTTCAACTCTGGAAGATCACCCCAATATGACAAACAAAATCCTGCTCAAATTGAAATAAAAATGTTGTTGTCTCAATTCCTTTCTGACTTGTTAGCAGGTCTTGCTGATCCCGTAAGTCCTCTTTGTATGCCCACCTCTGCTTAGTAACTTCTTTTAATTTCATTAATTTTTGGTCTTATGCTTTTTTTTATGTCGATAGGAACAAGGGGCTGATTACCATGATGCAAGGGAAGGACAGTTTCTTAGCCGGAGAATGGGCCCTTCTGATTCACCATGGATGCCACAAGACACCATTAGAAACTATTCTGAGCCTATGCATTCTGGGTCCAAAAGACAACTGGTAATTTTCAACCATCAATCATTAATTTGCTATATTCAATTGAGGTAAATTTGTGGGGGCTAGCTGGAATTCATGCTTTGCTCCCCACAGCTTCATTGCACACTAATGCCACTAAATGTTCATCATGTTCTGGGAGATCCTGTATGTAGCTGACAGTAGTCATTTCTTATAAATTTTTAGAGTGCAGACTGCTTACTGAACATGAGGTTTTACTTTAAATTTTAATTGAGTGGGTTTGATAACATCTTAAACTTGTCCTTTTATGTTTGTGATAGCATTCTCAATCTTCTGGAGGGCCAAAGGGCGATGGACAGCCAAGCAATATATTGTGGATAGGTTACCCTCCTCCTGTTCATGTTGATGAGCAGATGTTGCACAATGCGATGATTTTATTTGGTGAGATCGAGTCAATTAGAAGTTTTCCTTTGATGCACTACTCGTTAGTTGAATTCAGAAGTGTTGATGAGGCACGGCGTGCCAAAGAAGGGTTACAAGGTCGTCTTTTCAATGATTCGAGGATATCGATTATGTATTCGGACAGTGGTCTTGCTCCTAGCCAAGATTACCCTGGATTTCACCCGGGAATCAAAGGGCCAAGGCCGGATATGTTTTTTAATGAACCTCCATTTCGACCTGCACATATGGACATGTTTCATCATAATCTTCCGATGGTTGCAAATACACTTTCTGGACCTGCACCATCTAGTGGTATTCTCGGTCCTAATATGCTGATGAGGCCTTTTGGTCCTCAAGGTAACTTTGAACCTCTACTTTCAGGACCAGAATTCAATGATTTGACTGCACTGCATAAACGGCCGGATGCTAATCCCAATGGTCTGATGGGTGGTCCAAATTGGAGAAGATTGTCTCCTGCACCTGGGATGCTTCCATCTCCTTCATCGGGCATGAAGCGACCAATCAGACCTGTGTCTGGTGCATGGGATGTATTTGATGCAAATCAACTTCAAAGGGAATCCAAGCGGGCAAGGATTGATACAGTTTTTCCTGTTTATGATTCTTCTTTTCCTTCAAAGAAAATGGATGATCAGGGCTTGGGGTTGGACCGATTACATGGGCTTCGCCCGCAAGTTGATGGAGGTGCTTCAGGTTCAGAGGTCAATGTTCAAGAGAAGAATATCTTTAGTCCACCAGAAGTAAGGATCAAAACTGTTGGAAATGATCACGTCCATCCGGATCATGATTACATATGGCGTGGTGTTATTGCCAAGGGTGGAACCCCTGTTTGTTGTGCTCGTTGTGTCCCTCTTGGGAGAGGCATTGAGTCTGAGATGTAAGTGTTATTTTGATTGTCACCTACTTTCTGTGTAGTTATCCCTTTTATTAAGTGAAGTTTTTGGATGTCTGTTTTAACTTTGCACAATAAATGCAACTAATGTTGTTTGATTGGGTCTTGCATAATATGATTCTTACCAAAGATTTTTCTAAAACTAAAACTATTACATCGCTGTAATTTAGCCACTTCAATTGTTATTCTTTAATTCTCTTATTCTTTTGTAGGTAATGGGTTTGCTTATCAATACATCTTATGATGTATCGGCTCATCAAATGTATTGAGCCATTCAGTGAGTTTTGTATACCCCAGATATATCATAATATGAATTATTTAAGAATTGAAGATGAGTATATATCTTCGTTATTGCTTGTGGAAGGATACATAGGTGGTGTTTGGGAAGAATTTTAGTTGGGTTTTTTCTCATTTTTTCCACTAAAAGACAAAAATTTTGCAAAATAAAAAAAAACACATCCAAACAAAATATCACATCCAACCCCATAATCATTTCACTTTTTCTCTCACAAACATCACATCCAACCACAAAAAAACCCAACTATCTTCCCAAATACAATTTTTTTTTTCTTCAATAATATCCTACATCTAAAAAAACCTACATAAAACCCACTTCCCAAACACCATCATAGATAAATTGTTGTAGATAATCCTCCGTTGTAGTATCACAAAGTGGCAACAATTTTGTAAATCCTTTTGCTTTCTTATTTCTTCATTTAAGTTTTGGAGAGCTTAAGTGTGCTTTTTGTTTGATTACACATTCCTTTTATCGACTCATTGTGGGATTATTTATGGATTTAGATCATGGCCTAATTTTGTTCTTGATTACTTCCTATCTGTCATTATATTTATCTTCATTTTTTAACGTTGGGTTGTTTTGATGCTTAATCATGTGACTGTGTCCTGGTGAATTATTTTTCACTTAAACCCAGAACTTTGCTATTGTGATCTGGTAGATGTAGCATATGACTAGTTGTCCTGAATCCTGTCATTTTTATTTCTAATATGGAACTTTTTTATCTGCAGTCCTGACGTGGTCAATTGCTCAGCCCGAACAGGCCTTGACATGTTAACAAAACATTATTCTGATGCCATTGGATATGATATTGTCTTCTTTCTGCCTGATAGTGAAGAGGATTTTGCTTCGTACACTGAGTTTCTGCGTTATTTAGGGGCAAAAGGCCGGGCTGGGGTGGCCAAGTTTGAGGATGGGACCACCTTATTTTTGGTGCCTCCGTCAGATTTCCTCTCTAATGTGCTAAATGTTGCGGGTCCTGAACGCCTTTATGGGGTGGTCCTGAAGTTCGCACAACATTCCCCTAGTAGTACATCCATGCAGCCACAGTCCTTCCCGTCTCACTACATGGATGGACATCAGATTCCTTCTCAAAATGAGTACAGTGGCTTGCCTCGGGAGGAAAATGTTTTGCAGATGGATTATAGTAGTGCGTTACACGAGGACTCATTGCCTCCTAGAAATCAGCTTGCACCTTCTATTACTGCCTCGCTTCCCATGCAACCAGCCTCAGGAAATACTGCAGCAGTGTCTCAAGCTGGAGTTAGTTTGACTCCTGAGCTTATTGCCACTCTAGCATCCTTACTTCCAGCCACTGCAAAATCTTCTGGTTCAGAAGCTGCCCAACAACCACTAGGATCGTCCTCGATGAGACCTTCAATGCCTGCTAGCACTGAATTGGAAAGGGGACTTCTGCAACAAGGTCCTCAGCAGACTGGTCATCCATTGCATCAAGTGGAGCATCAATTTAATCTCCAGAGACAACTTCCCCAGGTTCAGACTTACGCAACTGGCTTGAACACATCAAGCAATTCTCCACTGGGGGTTACTGGAAACTCCCAAGTTCAAGATCCTGCATTTCACCTGCCACAAGGTGCAGTTTCTTCTAGGCCACTGAATATGTTAGGAAACCCTTCACAGAGTGGACAACTTTCTGTTTCCCCACAGGTTGACTGGCAACGTCAGTACGAAGTTCCTCAGATTACTCAGACGGGCTTTGGGATGGCACATGGAACAGATTCTCTTGGTTCATATGGTTCATCTATCTATCAGCAACCTGCAAACTCTGTTTCATTGTCTAATCAGGTTCATGGTAGTAATGTTACTCAGCAGCCCCATACTGCATTGCCGCAGGGTGCTGATATATCTGAGCTTTCGAATCAGGTTCTGCAGCTTCAGCCTGCCCTTTATGGAGCAAGTCAGGGAACATCAGAGGTTGAGGTTGATAAGAATCAGAGGTACCAGTCAACGCTGCAGTTCGCAGCTAACCTCCTCCTCCAGATACAGCAGAAGCAGCAGCAACAGCAACAGCAACAGCAACAACCAAGCACTCAAGCAGGGCAAGGGTCCGTTAATCATTAATGATATTTCCGTCAACCAGGTAATTGCTTAATCCATGATTTTTTCTTCTTTTGAATATACGAGTTTTCCAGGAAAGTCATTTCTCTGCTAAAATGTGATTTCATGATGAAACTCAATCTTGCATTCTGCTCTCTTTTATATTTGACCTGGTTTTTGCAGTTCGTGTGATATTTAGAAAACTTTGAATAAGGTTGGTGAGATGAACAAGTTACTCCGGTTTGGATACATAACCTCATATTGAGAACTTTATCCAAATGGCATTAAAATTGAATTGTCGTTTCATTAAGTTTTCTGATGATATAAGGTGCAGAGGAGGGAATAAATGATCTCTTGATTTCTTATTGGATATTGTTTGTGGAATTAAGTTTGGCATGGAAGGTTTAAAGCATTTGGTTACATGGGGATTCAAAGGTTGGTTGACAGAAATTGAAGAATGCTTATTGGAGGTGGAAAATTGGCCTCTTTTGGGATCTGATTTATTCTTGGCATTTTGGATTGTGATCCCTTTGGAAGAGTAGAGTGTAGGAGTTTAGCCTTGCTGGTTTGTCTTTGATAGTGGTTTCATGGCTAGGGAAAACCAGAGTTAGGTTGTTGGAATTCATTTTTTTGCAGTTTTAGCCACTTATGCTGGAATTTCTTTTTTCTCAACATGCTTTAATCGGTTTATAGGTCGGTTCTTAGTTGTTGTGGATAATTTTCGGCTTAGAAAAAAACTACTTACATTTGGTTGAAGCCTTTGTTGCTAGTTCTGGTATGTCATCTACTAGATCTCTCACAAGGATGTGTCAGTTGCGTAGAGGGTAGGTTGGGGTATTCTCTATATTGTAGAATATTTCGAAGTTTGTTTCGCTGCAATATGTTGAGATATACTTGGTGTTTCCTTTCAAGTTGAAGCATTTAGGCTTGGTGATTCTCAAAATCTAGAATTTAGGAGATACTGCTATGGAACTTACTTCATAGACATGTACATTTGTGTTTATCCCTACAAATCACAGACCACGTGCTTATGTTTTGTTTTTTTTTGTTTTTGCTTTTTACCTTTTCCTTTTCCTTTTTGTGGTTGTGCTTGTTGTAATGCTAAAACTGGATCAGTTAATTTTTATGAATAGAATTCACAGTTATTTTAGCCACATAGGCTTCTTTACTGGATCTGGCGCCATCTGGTAGCATAGGCTTCTTTACTGGATCTGGCAACGTAGCAACATAGGCTTGTTACAAAACACTCTTGCTATTTCTCTTGGTGATCTAATGGCAGTCATAGCTCCATCGTGCGTGTCATTTATTGCATCAATACCCTTTTGTCACATCTGTTTTCTCTTATACTCACCATATCATATCTATAGGCACCCTATCGTAATTGTTTTTTTAGATTTATAAAAATCATACTAAGATCACTCCTCTTCACACTGTAAATTTCTATTGGTCTTCCTAAAAAAATTGCTTCCATAGTAGATCTTTCGGGTGTAAATTCAAACTGATTTTCTGGCACTGTTGTTGCAATTCTTAAGCGCACTTTGTTTAATCTACACCCGTCACACATGAGCTACTACCCATATTTACAAGTAAAAAATCTAGTGAATCTAGGACTGATGAAGTATCATATCAAATTATCAATTTATGCTAATATTGTATTAGGTCAATTATCTTTTTAACTGTAAAAAGAATTTGGTTCTTCTTTTGTGTATATATAATTATATTAAAAAATAAATAATGCCCAATTAATTCCTATTAATGGGTGTTTGGGAGGGGTTGGATTGGGTACATACCTAACTTTTGGCATAAATGCACTAAGTGGATGTCCTCAAACTTGAATTCATAAGGCTTTGGCCTTTATCATAGACCTTGATTTCGCTACGAATATAGGGAACTCGGAATAGCGGAGATTGGTTCGTATTTCGCTTCCAAAGTTAGTCGTCTTTGCCCAAGTGTGAATTGCAGATGACTCTACGGCGCCGTGTTTTAAAAAGCTCTAGGCGCACAAAGGCGATAAGGTCTCCTATAGCCTAAGTGCGAGGCGTGAGGAGAGGTGTGCGCCTCACTAAAGTGAGGCGCAAGTTGTAGAATATAAGCAAAATTTTAAAGTAGGTAAAGTTTTCAACATAAACATAACATTTTAAAGTAGGCAAATAATCTTTAAACATAATATTCAATCTTCTAAAAATCACAAATATATTATCCAACAAAAGAAGAAAAGGTTAATAAAGATCCACCTTTTTGCATGCACAAGCATAAAAAGAAAGAAAGAAAGAAAAAGAAGCAGAGAGAGAACCACGAGCAGCGAAGAAGGACAACCTAGCGAAAGAAATGGGGAACAGTGGCTGTAGCAGAAAAAGAAAGAAAAAAAGAGGGAGAGAGAGAACTAGGACCAGCGAAGAGAGAGAGAACTAGGACCAGCGAAGAAGAAGGAGAACACTACGAAGAAGAAGAAGAAGAAGAAGAAGAAGAAGAAGAAGATAAGAAGAAGGAGAAGGAGAAGGAGAAGAGAAGAACTTGAAGAAGACAAATGTCGATCTTTCTCTTTTCCATGCAATGTCGATTGATTTTTTTAATTGATCTCCGCCTAGGTTTTTTTTTTTTTTATAATTTTTTTTTTATCACTTTCTGATCACGTTTGGCCTTTTATATTGAAGGGTTATAATTCCCTGTGGGTATGCACACAGAAAAATCGCTTAATCAACAGTTTGAGTAAAAAAATACATGAGGCGCATAAAGCCCACACCTTGCACCTTAGAATAAAGCCCTCACCCCAGCACCTTTCGTGCCCCTTCCATTCCTTGCCTCGCCTCGATCTGTTCGAGGCATAGGGCTGTGCCTCATTGCACCTTGAGCTTAGGCGCATGCCTAAGCGCGCTTTTTAAAACACTTCCGGTGGTTCCATTCCTTCTTACTGTACTTTTGGGTCAACCCAACCTGAATGGGAAGAAGAGGGTCAGCCAAACAGCGGGCAGCTCCACTTTGTACGTTTGCTGAGCACAGAGCAATCAAGCATTTTAGACAAAGGAAGGGAATTTCTCACCGAAGGAGGCAGTAAGATAGAATGTTAGTTTAAAGTCCATTTGGGTAGATAATATGGCTTGACAATGTCGAGCTAAAGACTATTACGAAGTAAATATAGGGTCTGTCTCAGCCTTGACTATGGAATTAGTTTTCCTCGTGACTATCTTTCCCCTGAATCCTGGTTGGCTGCAATATTTTGAGCTAGGGATCCTACAATTCCCTATGAAGCTCCCTGACAACCCCTTCAATCTATCTTCATCTTGGCTGGCAGCCTAGGTTGAGCCCGCATACCTTTATTTCCCTCTACTTCATATCTAAATAAAGAATTGTCTATAATAGAAAACAACTCAGTAACATTATATGCCGTGTGACAACTATGCATGGAAAGCATTAACCTATAGAGCTTATGCCATTAAAATAGGTAGGTTCTTTTTGATGACAAGGTCGGCAATAACATATGCCACATTCTATGTTTAAATTGCCATTCATTAAGTATTTTTTTAAAAATTTATTTCCGCATAATAACTCAGACAATATAGATTGCCGTGGATGTAAGGGCTTTTGAACTTATTCATATACATTTTCTAACTGTCTTGTTTTAGGCCTTAATTGCATTAATGTTCAAGCCCCTCCAATTATAGGAATTATTTATCCTATAATGCGATTAAGGCCTAAAACAAGACAATCAGAAAATATATATGAATAAGTTCAAAAGCCCTTACATCCGCGGCAATCTGTATTTTCTGAGTTATTATGTGGAAATAAATTTAAAAAGATGTTTTTTGTCATTTGCTCAATGAATGGCAAAGTTATTATGTGGAAATAAAATATATAGAATGTGGCATATGTTATTGCCGACCTTGTCATTAAAAAGATGTTCGTAATTACTTGGAATTGATATGTTGATCATTCATAATGCGAGTTTGATTTTGTTTTGTGTCATTTACTTTGTCAAGTCAATAGATGTTACAACATTTTTTTGGTTGTCCTCTGGATTAACATAGCTGTCATCGTGTCTGCTCCAGCGTAGGTGCCACATGTACCTTCAATGCCTTAGATGCTCCTTTGTGTGTTGGAAGCATTTTTTCTTGTGGACAAACAAAAATTAACAGTTCGGATGAATGAGTGTGAGGGATGAGATAGAGAGAGTTTTTAATCTTATTATCATTGAGGACGGATCTTGAAGATGGTTCTAGTGCCCTAAGCCCTATGTCTTTGTTATTATTGTTTCCTTCTTAAACTTCATTTCATAGGTATATGTAGCCTTCATTTAAGTGCTTTGCAACATTCAGTCTCATGGTGTGGTGTACTTTTGTGATGTTAGAACCTCATTAAACATCAATCTCTTAAATTTACTCTTTTTTGAGGGTGATACTTGTTTTGAATTTGCCCAATTTGATGGTTTGCTCTAATTTAGTAGAAGTTGAAATCTCCAAGTAGAGGTGGGGGCCATCCATTAAATTCCCCCAAGTATATGGAGTCATGAAGAGTGATCGTACATTGGTTTTTTTGGATATAAATGGCCTATGGAATTTGTTCATGTACATAATTATGAAATTGTGCATATTAATCACTTAAAAAAAGTGGCCAACGTCATAAGGTAAGGCCAAAGGGATTGGTGCATCTTTTCCTAGAGGGGGTCAAGTAGTTTTGTCACTAGAAAGATTGCCTTTTCCTGGAGAAAATCTTGAAGAGAGTAGTATAGAAGAAGATTAAGACTCAGATCAAATGGACAAGCACAACTTGCGGAGGGGTTTTTGCTTGTTTAACAAGTAAATTATCTACTCAATCCGACTATTTCTTGATTCGAATCCCAGGCAACCCATTGTCATATTGAAGTCGTGTATGGAAATTTGTATTTTATTTTTGCAATCTGGAAGAAGATCCGGACTCGGATCAAATGGACAAGCAAGACTTAGGGAAGGGTTTTTGCTTGTTTAACAAGGAAATTATCTACTCCATCTGACTAGTTCTGGGTTCGAATCCCGGGCAAACTTCATATTCTATTTTTGTAAACGCACTTGAGAAAAGAACACATGCATGGAGATTTTGTCTCTTGGAGTTGAAATCTATGGAAGGACAACTGATTTCAACTTGAGCACCAATTCACTGGTATTGAAAGCGCCTTTTGAATCCAAGTAGTGGGGGTCTTTGCTCAAATTGGTGATTGATATAATTCGATTAGAAGAAAGTACTCTTATGATTCAAACCATATCATAGCATGCATATGGAAGAAAGGGCGGGTCCATTCAATGATGTAAAATCAACCATTGTGATAAAATAATCAATTGGAAAAAAAATCCCCTAATGCCAATTAGGAATTCACTAGGTTTAGCTTTTAAAATTGTGAATTTTTATTTATTTTACTATGTAATAACGTATAATAAGATCTTTCAATTAATGAACGTACTAATGAATCTAATGAGTTAAAGTAAAGTCAAAGTGTTGGTTGGTCGTCGTTCATTCTAAAATAGAAAATAGATTTGATATACTATTAAAAAAGAAAAGAAATTATCATAATAGGAATTTTCATTTTTATTCTCCTAACTAGTCTCAAATCAATAATGAAATAAAAAGTAAGAAAACTAATTGTTAGTAATGTTAAGAGGGAAGTTTTCATGTTTATTGTTTAGTTTCTAGGTAGCCTGTCTTTACTTAACTCAGCCTAAGCAATGCCCAAAGATTCCATGCTTTTCTTGTTTGGACCAACCAAGTTGGCGATTTCCAACAATTCTAATGTCATTGCCTATGAGTTTGGGTGCGTTCTGCTTGCCATCTCCTTGATTGAATAGATAGTTCTTGCAAGGCCAGCTTCACTCCCAGCATTGAAAAGAGCCAGCCTATGTCAATATGAGCTCGCTCGGAGATTGTGATTTAGTTGTTGCGAGCTCCTAGCTTTTCGCTAGACTCGCCCTCTAGTTGTAAAAGGTTTTCGACCTAGATCTAGATTCTTGTAAATGTAAAGACAACAAGACATAAAAGACTCCTCATCTTTTAGGAGAGCGGAGGTCAAACTTGGTTAAGCTAGGCTAGGCAAGAGTGGTCGATAAGACTAACAGAAGTGAAGGAGAGCGGAGTTGAAAGTCGAATGTTACATATTAATCTTAGGGATTAATTATGTACTTGTGATTTGGAAGCATCTTCCGACTTCATTACTTTGCGAATATTATGAGATGAAAATATGTTATATGGGAAGATTCTATGTAACTCAAAGAAAAATTCAAAATGTAGGATGAGATACTAAGATGTTACAGCTTTTTCAGAATTTGGTTATTTGTTGATGTCAATGTTCTACTTTGAGTAAAAAATGCAGGACACGACACGAGGAGGACACGCATGAAATATATAATTTTATATATTTATTATATGTTATATATATATGAATATATCATTCAAAGATAATAAAAAATGCAATATGACACTAATTCTTATAAATTTATATGGTTTTTATTTTATTGTTGTATTTTAAGTTATTTTGTTCAAACTTATAATTAGTTTTGCGTATGTCTAATCGTTAGACACGTGTGTTTAAACGATTGACACATGTGTCCTTCAAGTGTCCAAAGAGTGTCCAAGTCTTTAAACAATAGGACACGTTTTGAAGAGTGTCGGACACGTGTCCTGAGAGTGTCCAAAGAGTGTCGGTGTCCGACACGTACCCGACACGGATACGTCACCTTCCTAGAAGTGTCCGTGCTTCTTAGTTTGTACCTAACCAACCCATTGACAGTCCGCATAGAGTGGGACAAACGGTATGTAATAGCCTTCCTTAACTATGCATGTCTTTGATACAAAACTATGCAAGTCTTCAATTTAACGCAAATGGTCTCCTTATTGATACTATTGTTGGGGAGAATATATAATCTTGCTTAAAACCTCCTACAATTTTGGAGTTGTTGAATGGCAATTTTCCAAAAAGTAAAATAGTTGTAATAGTCTACACTTTTGTCAAAAAGCAATCATTCAAAAAAAAAAAACAAAAAAGTTAGGAGGCAAAAATTGGAAAACTCCAAAAGTTTTCAATACTTCATTCTTTAATCATCATCTCCAAAAACTCACCGTAGGGGCCCATAGTATCCAAATCATCATACTTTTTCCAAACTCACTTGATGACTCCAAAATATTTCTTTTTCCTAGTACAAATAGATGGATAAGGTTGAATCGATTGCTTGGTGTATTGAACCAAATCCTACGAGATTTTAATGTGATTTGGCTTTTGTCGATTCACCCTTTTTATACGAATTGATTACTTGGTGTATCGAACGGAATCATACAATATATTGTGACCCAAGGCAGGTGACTCTCGCAACTAGGGACACTAACTACAAGTTTTACTTTTGGACCAAGCCGCCCCTTTATAGGAAAAGTTGCATCTCCTAACAAGTTTGCAAGTTTATAATCTTTACAACTTGAGGAATAGAATTAGTGGCTTCTTGAGTTGAAATGTTAAAACGGTGTGGGTAAATAACAGAGTAATGCCTTTCTTTTTTTTCCCCAACCTTTATCTTAGGAAAGTAGTTATCCTTCACTTGTATTCCATCACAAGGCAAACTATTGTTGGCTAAAATGGAAAATTGAAGGTATAAAAACGGTCATTTTATTTTGAAGAAAAAAAATTACGTCTTCTAGCATGAAAATTAGCTTGTAATTGTTGTCTTGCTTTGTGTTAGGCATCCATCATAAACTATATATTTTGATGTGGTTTGGTCGTAAGAGGACATAAGTTTAAGCCTTATATGTGGTCCTTCAGGGCATTACCACTATACTTTAGTCAGATTGAGGTTGAGGCTATGGCTTAGGCCGAAGAAGCATACACATGACACGACATGGACACGCCGATGCGGAAATTTTCATAACTAAAAGATTTTCAAGTAAATTGTTAAATACGAATAATAAATACATATAAGAAAATAATGTATTATCCAAAATATTTCATTACTTATTTTTTTAATTCAAAACTATTTAATTTGATTTTTTTTTTAAAAATGACAAAATTAAGGGGTTGCTTGGGGTGTCCTAAATAAGTGTATTTTTTGACTTTTTATGAAATATGGGTTGGGTATGGGTTGAGTTTGAAATGATGTGATAGAGAGATGATGTGACTTAAATAAGATGATGTGATTTAAATAGAATAGTGACTTTTTGACTTTTTAGATTTTTTTTGAGGATGCAAAACTTGGCCTAAATCTTAGACCATCTCCAACCCTGAACCAAATCTGGCATCAAATTTAAAATTTGGTGAAAAAAGCACTTTTTCATGCTCCAACGGTTTCACCAAATTGATATCAAATCGAGATTTCACCAAACGTTTCACCAAAATGAGGACAGGCTCCGCATTTCATTAAAACACTGTGCATGACCGTTGGGGGAGACCAACCGGTCGACCACCAAAAGGTTCAAACAGTTCCAAAAAAAAGGTCAAACAATTGAAAAAAAAAAAATTTTTTTGCCTTACTGGTTGACTGGCCGGTCGACCACTAAAAGGTTCAAAAAGTTCAAAAAAAAAAAAAATTTTTTTTTTTTGGCTTAACCGGTCGACCAACCGGTTATCCCGGCACAGATTTGATGAAAATTTGATGAAAATCAACCGTTGGAGCACTCGGTATCAGATTGAGGAAAAAGTCATTTTTTTACTCAGATTTGATGAAAACTTTGGTTCAGGGTTGGAGATGCTCTTATATTTTTCACATGAAAATACTAAATATTAACACTTGCCATTTGATAAAAGGATTTTCAAATTGAAAACAAATTAAAAACACAACAGAATATTTAAACTCTCTTTTAATTGAAAACACATACATAATATATAAATAAATTGAAAATACAAAGTCTTACAAATTACTAGGGGTGCTCGCGGTTTGGCAGTTCGGTTGCGGCCAATGGAATCAAATCCGTCATCCGTCCAAAACTAGGCGGATTGGAAAAAATCAATGTCATCACGCATTTGTCCAAAATGCGACGGATCGGTTCGGTCGGTTTTGGCGGATTAGAATATCCGTTGCTCACCCCTACTTAAAAC